CGCTAAATCCAACCAGCCTGGGATCCTGAACCCCCCACCCGGTTCTGCACCCCTCCTGCCGTATCTTTCTGTAAACAGGCGTGTTAGTGTCATTTCTCTGTTTCTCCCCTGAAACCTCTGAAGAGGCGTTGCACCTCATGGCTTCGTGAAAGGAGGCACCAACGGGGCGCTGGGGGTGTGTGGGTGGGGGTGGTTGTGCCCCCCAAGACCTCCAAAGGGCCCCCTTGGAAGCCTAAAGCAACAGGACGTGGGAGGCCGACGTCTGCTTAAAGCAGCAAGCGGCGGTCTTTCTCCGATCGGACGCCGGTGGACAGAAGTCCAGCGCTGGACAATGTAACGTCATCTGAACGGTCGCAAACTAAGGCGCGGTTGGTGTTGACGCAGTACGTAAGAAGGGAACCCCCTTTCAAAGGCACGATCCGAAGACAGCCAGCCTCCCGCTGCTCCGGGCGGCCTGCTTTCCAGGGAACCCGACCACTGACCTATGTAGATCCGGCCTTTGGTGTTCACCATGACGTTCCTGCCGGAAGACTCTCCGGTCACCGCCTCCTCCCCGTCCACCTGAAGGAAGCCTCTTTTCCCTTCCCTAAAGAAAACCGTTTTTTCACATCAGGAAACGCAGAAGGGGAGGCTGCGCGTGCTGCTCCTGCCCGGGGGGAAGAATGACCGATCTGGCCCCTGAAGGGAGCCTTCAGCAGAGGGCAGGACTGCAGTGCCCCCCAGCAGCTGTTCTGGTGCCCACCTTGTTTCCTGCTCCCCCCCAGCCCAAGCACATCCCCTCTCACCGGACAGCAGTCACTCGATGCCACTCCCCGTCGTCTACAGGGTCCTCAGAGCGGATGTTGGCCTCCCCGCTTCCCAGCTGGTAACTGCAGAAGACATTCTGGTCAGCCTGGCAAGGCAGCGTGCCAGCCGGATGCCACTGCAGGAGAAGGCCCAACTCACCTGAACAACAGGTGCCCGTCCTTCAGCCCGAGGCTAATGAAATCCTTTCCTTTGCCTGGTTCCCCTTCCTCCTGCGAGAGAGAGCAGAGTGTGGTGCCACCATTTCACCCGCGCCCTTTAGAGGCGGCAGCATTCCCCAGCAGGGAGAACACGGGTCAACGAGGCCATCTGAAAGCCCCCAGAGAGCTTGGGGGAAGACACCTCCATCGCTCCATCCCCTGCCCGCTCGCTGGCAAGGCGGTCCGTGGGCACGAGCCATTCCAGCCGCTATTACCGCGTTGTGGTCACGGCTGGGCGAGCCAGTCCCACGCGCGAGTCCCTCTCCAGCCTTTAAGCACCTTTTCAGGGCTCTGCAAGCCAATCAAAGCTGTAAATACCTCGTTAGGCACATGCTGCCCAGGACCTGGCTCTCCAGTTGCCTGGAAAGAGAAAGGGACAGGCGGAAGCCACGCGGGTGAGGAAGAGCAGCCAGCCATGCAACAGGCGCAGAGATGGGGCCCGCAGCCTCGGCAAACTGGTGCGGCATGCAGCCGTGAGCGGCCCCCTTGCAGCAACCGCCATGCGCTCATGCAGCAGATAGCCAAGCGCTCCCAGTGCGTTTCTCAGCCCAGCTGGCGCAGGCAGGTGCCCTTCCTTCCCACCAAACGTGTCCCTTTGCTGGGCTTCTGTGCGCGTCTCCTCGATCCAGATGCTCCTCGTGGCACGGAGGGGTCGAGGCTCGCTAGTGGTGCTGGAGAGGGGCCTGGTGCGACTGGCGCCGCTTTTACAGGGGCCCTGCTCTCAAGGGAGGGGCTTTCACAAACCCGCTGGCGTTGCTCGAACTATCGTTTCGAGGCCAGCTCCCCAAGGGGCAGCTGGACCGTCTTCTGCCGGGCAGACCTCTCCCCCCACCCGCCACCTCTGGTCCACTCACCACCCCCTGCCAGAAGAGCAGCCCATTCGGAGAGTTGGTGCGCACGTCCAACTCAATGGTTTCCGGCGACTCGGGAGAACTGCAACAAAGAAGGCCCTGTTGGGAGACGTCTCACCCGCCCGTTCCAGCCTGCCGGGGGAAATGCCCACACTGGGCTGCCTCTCCCCGATTGGCCAAAGTCGCTTGGCACAATGTCCAAGCACAGCGCTCTTCTCCTGCCATGGCTCGACCTCCCCACCTCAGAGCCCCCCTTAAACCTCCCATTTTTTGCCGTGGGCAGCAATTTATTTTTCTTCCCCCCAATCATCTGTTGGCGTCTTGTGCCTCTGGAAGGAGGGGGGCTGAGCAGTGGCCCCCAACCCTCGGAGTGCTCTTCTCCAGCACCGCCAGCGCCCCTCAAGAGTGGGATGGCACCCACCGCCACCGCCTCAACCACAACTCACCTCCTGGGGAAAGCGTGGCTCGGCAGGGCCACGTAGCCCCCGTTGCAGAAATAGGCTCCATACTGCCCAGGAGCGTCTGGTGGAGGGAAAAAGAGGCCTTCAGCGTCTGAGCCTGGCCTGAAGGAGCCACAGGGAAGCAAACTGGGCAGAGGGCCGGGCAAGGCTGTTCCCCAAACGGGCCAGGCTTACCGTTTCCTCCGCTGCCTTCAGGCCATTCGGCCCTCAGCTGGTACTGGCGTTCGTCTGCAGGACAAAGGAAGAGGCCAGGCTCACGAGAAGCACGGCCCAAGGGCGGCTCTTTCTCCCCAAGGCAAGCGGGGCAGCTTCAAGCCGGTCAGCAGAGCAGCGAGCCTTTAAGAGCCGGCCTGGCCGGGAGGCCGCTTTGCACTCTGACTCCCCCTGCCCCTAATGCTCACCACGTTCACAGTACAACCCTGAGAAGCCTGGGGGGCACAGACACGTCGTCTCCTTACAGGTGCCCCCGTTGAGGCAGGGATACTGGAGATGGCACTGGACCTCGGGCACCTCGCAACGTTCTCCTGCGGGCAGAGAGGGGCAAAGGGCTCCTGTAAGCACCCGGCGGAGCAGAGGCAGGAGAAGGCGTCTGAGCGAGGGGAACCCGCCTCAGCACACGAATGCCGAGGGCGTTCACCCACAAGGACTCGAGGGGGAAGAAGCGCCACTCTGGGCAACAGGCCCCACAGAGAGGTGGCCGGGAAGGTCTCCTCGTGGCCCGCCGCCTCACCCTTGTAGCCATCCGGACACAGGCACTGGAACTCGTACTCCCCGGTGAGCAGGCACTGGCCGCCGTGCTGGCAGGGCCTGCGGTCGCAAGGGGAGCTGTCGGTGCACTGCGAGATGCCGCGGCTCTCTAGGAAGCTGTACGAAATGTCCACCTTCTTTCCGTTGACCGAAACCTGGAAGGGGAGAGCAGGAATTCGCACCCAGCATCCCTCGCCAAGAAGAGGAGCAGGCCCCGGCCGGTGGAGACCTCGGCTCGCCAGGGACGCCCAGCCTGTTTCTGGTCTGCCCCAGAGGAACCGAAGGGCGCTGCCACCTCGACCTCTTGGGCTCAGAGAGAGGAGTCAGATGCTTTCCCCCCCACGTCTCTCTTGCCGCCCAACGGCCCACCTCTCCGATGCAGCCGTGGAAGTGGCTAGAGATGTTGGCGGCTGCCGGAAGCTTGACGGAGTCCTCCACGCCTCCCAGGTACATGGAAGTGCGAAGGTTGAGGCCCTGGCTCTTCCCGGGGGAGGACCTCTTTACGGGCCGCTCCTCATCCACCTGCAGGGTGCCGTCTTTGTTCAAGCGCTCGGCCGCCACCTTGTGCCACTGCCCCAGGGCCAGGGGCTTGGGGCTCCGAAGCACCGCGGTACCTGCAAGGGAACACGGCCTGGCTGGGGGAGTCCGGTTGGCGGAAGGGGCCGTTTCGGGAGGAGGCGACCGAGGAGGGGCACCCACCACGTCAGGACCCGTACCTGAGCCCAGCTCGTAGCGGAATTCCAAGTGCCCGTTGACCAGGTTGAGCGAGACGAAGTCGGCCACGGGGGCCCCGTCGCCCCCGCTGAAGAGGATGAGGCCGTTGGGGGACAGCGGCTTGACTTCGACATCCAGGCGCAGCTCGTAGTGGATGTTGGTGAGGGGCGGGTAGGAGATAAAAGCGTCCCCCCTGTGGAAGTGGGGGGTGGTCACCGTGATGCCTGTGGCAGAGAGAAGATGGGGGGTTATCTGGGTCTCTGCCGGGCTCCTCGCGCGCAGGGCCCAGCCTGCGGCCTCACTCACCCGCCATGCATTTCTTCCCGTGTCGGCCAAGGAGGCAACGGCAGGTGTAACCCTCCCCGGTGGCTAGGTTCACGCAGGTCGCGTCGGGCCCACAGGCCTCTGTGGGGAGAAAGGCAGGCGAGAGTGAGTAGCGCTCCCCAGTTGCCCAGGGTGCCAGCCCAGTTCAGGGCTGTCCTGATTCCCTCCTTGACATCTGAGGAAGTCTGGGTGGCCGGAGGGTTAAAGGCACCTCTTGGGCAGCAGACTGAGGGGGGCGTTTTGGGGCTCCTTCTGTAAGTGGGGGCTCTGCAGCGGCCAGCCCTTCTCTGTACTTCCCTCCCTTGAGGCCGAGGCTAACTGGCAGCGGCTCTCCAGGGCACAACCCAGAAGGGTCTTTCTCATCACCTCAAGGCCACCTTGGCCACTTTCAGGGCTCCTGTGGCTGGCTGGGCAATTCTGGGAGTTGAAGTCCACACGTCTGAAAGTGGCCGAGGTGGAGAAGCCTTAAGGGGAGATGCCAGGGCCTGCACCTCGCCTAAATGCAGGCTCTGCCCCTGAATGAGAGGCTCCACGTTCCTGGCCAACCTCACCACGTGGCACTCGAGGGCGGCCTGCCTCGGACTTGGCAGGGCCAGAGACGGGCCCGGCTCCAGCTGCCCTGCCGGAACCTGCTCTGAGCGACCGTCTCCCCTTCCTGGCATTGAGGGAGAGCCTCACCTGGGTGGCAGCGCAGGGCCTGGAAGTGCTCGCAGTTGCTCCCGGCAAAGCCCCGGGGACACTCGCACACGTAGCCACTGCTCTCCGAGTCTCGGCAGACCCCTCCGTTCTGGCCAGGGGAGAAGGCAGTTGTGTGGTTGAGGTCTCCGGCCCACGACTGCTCTGGGCACAGCCGGGGAGGGGACAGGGTCCCCGGGACATCTGCTCCTCCCCCCAGAATTACGGGCAGAAGGCTACCTGGCACGGACGGTCTTGGCACGTGGGGCAGTTTGAGACTCCGTGGGCTTGCAGGTCAAAATCTTTGAAAATCACCTCTCTCCCTTGGATGATCAGCTGTCGCACGCACCCTACGGGAGGCAGCAAAAAGGGCAGGGGAGGGGGCTGGATTAGAGGGCACCACCAGACCCGCAAGCCTGCACAACAAGCGTGCCCACATGTGGCCCGACAACGGGAGAGTGAGGGAGAACACAATGGCATCTCCTCTGAGCACATCCATCCTCCTCCTCAGCCAGAAGACCCCTGGGTATGGTCCTGGGCCAGGCAGGCCCTCTGGGCCTATCCTACCTTACCAGACTGTCGTTAGGGATAAAATGTGAGGAAGGAACCATACGTGACGCCTGGAATACCTTGCAGGAGATATGGCACCAAAGAATTCAGGGGACAAGAAAGCCTCGTCTAGATTAGCAAGTTCGGGGAGAAACCTCCACGGTTCTGATCTGCCGCCTGCGTCCTTGGGACAAACGAGGCCGCTCCTCCCGTGACGCCCCATCGCGCGCACGGCGAGTCCAAGCCCGCCCCACCCGTCCCGCAGCCAGCCTCGGACCAGAGGCGGCCGCCGCCTGCGTCTCACCGATAAATCCAGTGCTGAGGCCGGTTTTTGTGATGGCCGCGTAATTGGGGTACCCGCCCAGGTACAGCTCCTCGTTGAGATCCAGACCTTGAAACCTGCCCTGGAACGACACAGAAGAGGGGACCTGGGTCCACAAGGGCCGGAAGGCAGGCCCACCGGGGCCCTCCTCCCCATGGCGGTTTCCGGGGACTTCCCTCTTTTGCTGGCCCACCAACCCGTCCTGATCCTCGTCAGCAGCTTAGGCGGCGTGAGAGAATCCGGCTGCCACAGCCTCCTGCTCTTCTCTGGGAACTGAACCCCCGTGCCAAGGCTGCTAGAGTCTTCCTTCAGAATCCCAGCCCCGCGACTGCATCCCCGGGCAAGCCTTAGGCCGCAAAGCCAGGGCGTTGCTGGCGACTGGACCGCCTTCGATCAAGGGCTGCAATAGGATGGCGGGAGCTGTACTGCCACGTAGGGCGGGCGGGCTGGTCCGGGCGCGAGTGGGTGAGAGACACGGGAAAGAAAGGGCGAGTCCTTCTGCCATGGCTCACCTGGGAGCTGCCGTTCACGGGGGGGTGGCCGTCCACGACGACAGACCCCTGCGTCAAGTTGCGATAGAGGAGGACGGTGTGGAACTCGCCCAGACTGATGATCGAAGGGTGCCGGATGGTGGCCATGCCAGAGCCGGCGTCAAACCTGCCGTCGCAAGAGGGCCAAAGATTCAGGCCGCCCGTCCTGGCAGGGCCTCGAACGTCCCTTTCCCAAGGGGCAGCACTGGGGTGGGGGTGGGGGCTCCCTCCACTGCCACATCCCAGAATGTGGGGTTCGTGGGCAGCAAATCATTCACAGGCTCTCAAAATCTTTGGCAAAGGGTACGAAAGGGAAGCTACAAGGGGGTGGAGGGGACCCTCGGATCCAGCGGCCCGGCAGACTGTACATCGAGCCGAGGGCACGACTGTGGGTTATGGGGGGAAGAGCCCTTCCAACAGCAGCCTCTGGACCCCCCCCAAAGCCACAGCTGGATTCCCCCGCAGAGACCGTCGCCTCACCTGAACTCCGGCCGGCCCCCCACCAGTCCAAAGGAGACAAAGTCCCTGCCCGTGTCCTTCTTCTGCCCGTTGTACACCAGCATTCCTGTCGAAAGCAGAGCAGGGGAACTCAGGGCGCTGGGGCGTGCGCACCCACCAACTCCCAGCCCTGAGGCTCCGTCCCAAGCATCATGCAGGGTGCTGAGCTCAGAATCCCCCATGCTCTGCCTCCTGTTCTTGCCCCGGGCCCTGAGAGCGGCTGCTTTTCCACCGGGGGAACAGGAGTCTTTGGACCGAAGGCCATGCGCCCATCACAGCCCCACAGCCAGGCCGAGGGGCAGCACACTACGAGAAAAGGCCCCCAGGACCGCCTGACCCCCTCGCTTCCTGGGAAGAGTGGCTTCTCCCCGCAGGAGGGAGTCATCGAAGGGAGGTTAGGTCCAAACAGCGCAGCCCAGCTAATGGGAATAAGGCAGACTGCAGCTGGGGGCAGGCTCGGGAGCCCCCTGGTACATGAGTTAGCTTGCCAGGGGCTCACGCGGCACAGAAGGCACATTTCTCAGACTACACACACACACACACACTCCCAAGGCAGAAAGGGTTAGAAAGGTGCCTGGTCCCGGCTGGAAGCACCAGCACGACTCACCTGAGTAAAGCACGAGAGCTGGAAGGGCAGAGGGGGAGAAGGGGGCAGAGGCGAGAGGAAGAAGGCGGAGGGGAAGACGAGGGGAACAGAGTTTGAGTGAGAGATCCTCAGAAGAGAGCGCTCAGCGTGTCCATCCACACAAGAAGAGGATTGGCCGCCCTTCCCCACCCGGCAGCCGCTCTTACCGTCCGGGGTGTCAGGCCGGAAGGTGATCTCGAGGGCGAACGCTCTGTAGGCATCTTTCATGGTTGGCAAGACCAGGTAGGACTGAGGACTCTGGGTAAAATATGGCACCACCCGCTCTGCAAGGGAAGGGCAAAGGGTCTGAGGAGGAGGACGGCCAGGCCCTCCGCCCCTTCCGCAGCTGCCTCTCGGGAGCCCCACGGTGGGCGAGACCCAGGCAGGGGCAAGGGTGTCGGGTGCCCGCACAGGCAAAATCTCCTGGCAGCTGCCTCTCTAACGAGCAGGAGCTGCCAGACTGGCTGGAGGCTGCAACTGGCACGCGCTGAGCCTCTGCCCCAGTTCCTTTTCCCCAAGTCCCCCAGCTGAGGGTCCAGCGTCCGTTCTGGAGGACAAGCCCAGGCGGGGGACAGAGACGGGCTGGAGCACTGACCTCGCACTTTGAGCATGGAGAAGGCCGTCCCCTTCCCCTGCCGGTTGGACGCCGTGCACACGTAGACGCCTGTGTCTTCTGGGCGAGCAGCGGGGATGGTCAGGCTGCTCCCCTCCAGGTGGGCATCGCTGGGCAGCTCCCCTTCCAGCTGGAAGACAGCGAGCCACAGAGCCCTATAGCAAGCCTGCCCGCCCACAAGCCCCAAGCGCCCACGGGGCAGCCTCTGCAGCGCATCACAGGGGCGCTTTTCCACTGCCACCCCAGCAGCCCCTCCCTGGTGGGGAGCATCAGTCTTCGCAGGGAACTACCTTGGTCCATTTGATTTCCGGGACCGGAAACCCAGAAGCCGTGCAAGGGAAAACCACGGTGGAGCCCGCAGAAACTTCCTTCACTTCCGGCTGGGCTGCGACTTGGGGGATGGCTGTGGGGAAGAGAGAGGGCCCCATCAGCTGCGGAGAGCAGAGCGGGGAGGCTGACCCTCCAGGAGGGGAGGGGAGGGGAGGGGGCCAGGGCTTACACTGGACGTGCAGGATGACGTGGGACTGGACGGCGCCAGCCTCGTTGGTGGCGGTGCAGCGGTATTTCCCGGCGTCGGCCTGCTCCACCCGCTCGATCTTCACCAGGCTTCCGCTTGCCAGCACGCCCGGGCGCAGCTGCCCGCCCACCTTGCTCCACGTGATGACCGGCTTGGGGTCCCCGAAGGCCAGACACTCAAACTCCACGGCAGTGCCCGCCAGAACGGTCTGCACCGACGTCCGGATGTTGATCATCACCTTGGGCAGGGCTGAGGAGAGAAGCAGCGGGGCCTCCAGAGCGGGAAAAGGGGCCCCGCCCAGGCCGAGGCAATCCCGGGCGCCCAGGGAATCCACCCTTCCACACGTGGAGCTTCTCTAGGGGCCACGCGCCCAGCCCAGCCTTCAAGAGAGCAGCTGGCGTGTCGCTCACTTACCCTGGACAGTCAGACTGACCCTCTCCTGGGCCTGGCCGGAAGGACTCCTGGCCCGGCAGACGTAAACCCCCTGGCACCCTCGGTCCAGCTTCTCAATCCTGGAGGGAAGCAGCCACCGGGTTTGTGAGTCCCTGAGACGTCTGCACCTGCCTGCAGATGCCCGAGGCCTCCTCCCCCCAGCCCCCCGCCAAGCCCCCTCCTCTGGGCCCACTCACCGCAGCACCCCATTGCTGATGGTGTGGCCGGGAGGCAGCTCCCCGCCCTCTCTGAACCACTCGATCTGTGCTCCCGGGTCCCCGGAAACGGAGCACACAAACTCTGCTGTGGCACCCACGGCTTTTGTGTCGCTCTGGGGGGTGACCTGGACGGACAGGGGTCCTCCAGCACGGCCTGTGTTGGGGACAGTGAGGAGAAAGAGGAGGGGAAATAAATTCTCTAGAGCCATCCCTTTCACGGAGAGGCCTCGGTGAACTCGGTCTGCGCCGTTAGACCTGCCCAAGCCAGATACAACAGCTGCTTAGATGCTGTGGTTATATTGTCCAGCCTGGTCAGTAAACGCACTGCAGGACACTTGCAAACATTTGACCCCAACCCAGCAATGACTCGTTTCATCTGCCGATTTCATTTCCACCTGGAGCAGACCAGCATTTCTGAAGCCAAAAATAAAGTCCCTTCTTAAAGCTGAAGGCTGCGGCCCTCTGCTTTGCTCTGTGGCCGGGCACCGGGCTGAGTCTCTGCCCGGCCGTCTGCTCACCTTGCACGTGGACCTGGGCCAAAGCCTCCGCGAAGCCCACCCGGTTGCTGACGCGGCAGCGGTAGGTGCCTGAATCCTGGCGCACAGCTGGGCTGAAGTGCAGGACCCCCTCTCGCAACGTGGCCCGCCCGGGAAGGCTGCCATTCACCTTGGTCCACTCGTAGCGCAGGGGGGGCGTGCCGTGGGCCAGGCACTGCAGCTGCACCGCTTCGCCCTCCTGCACCGCTGCTCTGTCTGGAAGGCTGGTGGCATAGGGCGGCGCTGGGCAGAGAGAGGGGACGGGGAAGCGGTTGGAGTGTGCACCAGCCCTGGAGCCCCCCAAGGAGGGCACAGAGCCCCGCTACACAGGGTTGGCCAGCCCACCCAGCCTGGGGCGCAAGGGGTCCCCGCGGGGGGTGCCCAGCGTGCCTCTCCGGAACGTCAGACGCACGGAGCAACCTGCAGGACTTGGGGCACGTGGGATCAAACGATCCCTGCCCTTTTCCTCATCTTTTGCCCTTCTTTCTCCCTCCGCTGGCCTGGGAGGTCAACCCAAGCCCCGTCTTCCCCGGAGCGGGCGCGGGCGGCAGGGCCCTCCTTGCGCACTTACTCTCCACGTCCAGCACCACAAAGGCCTCTGTGGAACCCGCGGAGTTGGTGGCGTTGCAGATGTACTGGCCCGAGTCCTGCTGGGCCACCCGGGGGATGATGAGGGTGTCGTTCACCACCTGATGTTGCCACGGCAACGGAGCCCTCAGCTTGGACCAGTGGACGGTGGGAGTCGGATCGCCTGCCGATCCCAGCAGAAGAAAGTAGCGGTGAGCCTGGCCCGGGGCATCAGTCGGGCAAACACCTCCCCCCCAACACACACTGGCACGCACCTGTGGCAGAGCAATGGAGCCGAGCCGTCTGTCCCGCCTTCACTGTCTGGGTTGGACTCACGTGGATTTCGGGGGCTCCCGGCCGGCCGTGCACCGCTTCCACGCTCACATCCACCTGCGCCTCCGTGGTGCCCACGGGGCTCTGGGCCACGCACACGTAGGTGCCAGCATCCTCAAGCTTTGCGGAGGAGATCTGGGGAGGAAGAGGAGGCCACGGAACACGCTCAGCCTGACCCCCGAATAAGCCCATTCTCGGAGTCTGCGTTAAATGCAGAAGTGTAATCCCCAAGCAGGCTGGTTCATTCAAAAGATGGACACAGGCCAACGCCACGTAGTCAGTGTTGTATGAATGACAGACGCTGGTTCCTACCCGACCTGATTACATCTGTGGTGCAAACTCAGCCTCCGTGTTTTGTGTGTGAGAGCGCGCGTGTTGGTGTCAAACCGAGGAATTAAAGTATCTCTCAGGAGCCAGTCTAAGATACGCTGGTCCTGATGCAGGAGGCTTTGCATACCCACCAGGACAGTCAGACATTTCATAACGAATGGCTGGCACCGGTGCCAGGGCAACACCTGCAGACTGGCACCAACCCCACCCAGGAAGGCTGCTGAGGGAAGCTACGTCCCTCACCCACCTGCAGCACAGCTCGGCTCTCCAGCGGCAGCAGCTTCTGATTCTCCAGCTTCTTCTGGGTTCCCACCTTGCTCCAGCGCACCAGAACCCGGGGCTCCCCGGCCCCCAAGCAGTCCAGGCTGATGGATTTGCCCACTTTCAGCTGCACGGGGCCCTTTGGCACCACGGAGACTGTCGGCAGCCCTGGGAAGAGAGAGCGGTGCCCGAGTTCACCCAGGGACTCGGGGGGAGGCCTTTGGCATCGGTTGGAAGAGAAGCAAAGGAGCCTTCGCCCTCGCTCTCCCAGAGAGACCCTCAGCATTGCCCGCTTACCTTGGACCATGACGTTGACCAGGCTGTTGGCAATCCCAAAGCGGTTGGAGACCAGGCAGCGGTATGCCCCGTGGTTTTCAGGACGGGCGTTGGAGATGGTGATCACAGAGCCGTTAGGGCTGATCCTCACGTTATCTGCGGAGGAGACGGAAACGATTACCAGGCGGTGGTCCCCAGGACTGGCCCCAGCCAGCCCACCCCCATACCCCACTGCCCAGGGACAGACACCCAGGAACCGACCTGCCCTGGCCCTCAAGCTCCAGTCCTTTCGCATCGTGACGCCTGCCTCGAAGGAGCTCTCAAGACACACCCTCCCTGCTCTGAACCCCGACTCCAGGGCTCCGGCCCCTTTTGGGGGCGGACAGCTGAAAAAACCCGGGTCCTGCTCCTTTCCAGGAGCCCTGCACTACGGCTCCCTATGGTCTGGCCGGAATCCTGGGATGTGGGGAATAAATGCCCCGGCCCCGGCTGAGCTCCTTGAGAAAAGCAGGCCTGCTCTCCAGTCCCCAACCCGCCTGGCGCAGCTCGTCACCTGGCAGCTGGTTATTGGGCAGCTTCCAGGTGATCTCGAGGGGTGGGGTGCCTTTATGGACGTGGCACCTGAAGGAGACCTCTTCCCCTTGGCGCACGACAACGCTGTGAGGGTCGATTGAGATGATGGGGCTCTGCAGACCTGCCGGGAGAGAGCAGCGGTGACCCCCCAAAGCCCAGCCACCCCCACCCGCC